GCCAGCCAGCGAGCGAGCCTTCTTCCCCTAAAGCGGGGAGTAAAGGTCACGCCGCCCCTCTGCCCGGCCTTCTCGCCGTGACTTGACCCCGCGGCTCGGCTCGGAGGACACGGGCACCGAGCGAGCCCCCCAGCCGCCGCTAATGAAAGGACCGGCGGCGTTCTCCCAATTCGGCGCACAGCGGCCGAAGGGCCGTCGAAGATCGCCATCCGCAAACTTGCGGGAGCAGAAAGGGAGGCGGCTCCCTTCGCCGGGAGGATCAAGGGCAAACTTTGCCAGCCGCGTCGGGCGCCTCTGCCTGCCAGACCGACCCTCGGAGCGCACCGTCTCTCCGGGGCCACGACGATCGTCCGCGTTCTCCCGCTCCCCACGCCTGGCCGCTTCCTTACCTGTTGGTGCCCCTTCACCGCTGCTCCGCCGGCGCGTCCTTGCGACAGGCCATGCGGCTGCTGATCCTCATCTCCTCCTTCCCCTCTCCCGGCGTACTGAGCCCCGAGCGGACGGGCCGTCCGTCCGTCCCTCCGTTCGCCTCTCCGGATCCGTCCGCCGCGATGGGGAGGCGGCGGCAGCAGCAGCAGCAGCGGCGACGCCACGTGCCCGGGGCCCCTCGGCTCTAGCGCCAGGGGCCGGCTGGCATCGCCCCTCCTCGTCCCTCCGGCAGGGCTGCCCGGCTTCTCTTGCTGCTGCTGGTGGTGGTGGTGCTGGTACTTCTCCCCCTCCTTCGCCTCCTCCGCCTCCTCCTTCGCCGTCGTCCCGCTGCCCCTCGGCACACGCGCGCAGACTTTGCAGGAGACTCCGCGCGGCACAGCATCCGGCTGCCTTTGCTCGGTGCGCCGCCAACCTGAGCCGCGCGCCGTCTTCCCGCGGGGGTGGGGGTGGGGCGGCTGGGCAGACACAGAGCCCGGCGCACGGAAGGCCCGCAGCGACCCCCAGAGTTCGGGGAGGGGACTACACCCACCTGCCGCCGCGCTGCAGCTGGGAGGGGGGGAGAGGTGCTTTCTCCAAGGAGCGTCTTGCACACGCGTGGGCAGGGGAGATTCCGCCTTCGTAGTGGCCCTACCGTTAGGCAGACAGATTTCGCATGTCCTGAAAGACCCGCAAATCGTTAAATATTTCCTTTTTTAAATGGGCTATAATAAGGGTGGAACAATTTGGACTCTAATGAGGGTGAAAGAGGAGAACGCAAAAATAGTCTGAAGCTTCACATTAAAAAAACTAAGATCATGGCCACTGGTCCCATCACCTCCTGGGAAATAGAGCAGGAAGATATGGAGGCAGTGACAGATTTTACTTTCTTGGGCTCCATGATCACTGCAGATGGTGACTGCAGCGACAAAATTACAAGACGCCTGCTTCTTGGGAGGAAAGCAATGACAAACCTAGACAGCATCTTAAAAAGCAGAGACATCACCTTGCCAACAAAAGTCCCAATAGTCAAAGCTATGATTTTTCCTGTAGTGATATACGGAAGTGAGAGCTGGACCATAAAGAAAGCTGACCGCCGAAGAATTGATTCTTTTGAATTGTGCTGGAGGAGACTCTTGAGAGTCCCCTGGACTGCAAGGAGAACAAACCTATCCATTCTAAAGGAAATCAAGCCTGAGTGCTCACTGGAAAGACAGATCCTGAAGCTGAGGCTCCAATACTTTTGGCCATCTCATGAGAAGAGGAGACTCCCTGGAAAAGACCCTGATATTGGGAAAGTGTGAAGAGCAGAAGGGGACAACAGAGGATGAGGTGGTTGGACAAGGTCACAGAAGCTGCCAACATGAATTTGACCCAACTCCGGGAGGCAGTGGAAGATAGGAGGGCCTGGCGTGCTCTGGTCCATGGGGTCATGAAGATTCAGACTTAACGACTAAACAACAACAAAACATAGAGGTGAATCTATTGATGAATGTTAGGGGGGGAAATAAAAATCTTCTGTCTGTATTCACTTTTCCTTAAAAACAAACAAATAAAAACAATAAACTTTATCTCTTTTTGGGGGGGGCAACATATTTTTCACCTTTTTCTGGAGGAACTAGCATAGATTGCCTTGGGTGCCAAAACTTCTAGTTACACCTTTGCTTTTTTATCATTCTGTTTTTACCATCAGGAAACAGGATGTGAATTTGTCACATAGATGTTTGTGGAAATTTACCTCCTTGAATCAATGGGTCTGCTCTACATGGCACTAGGAATTGGATATTGACTAATGTTCTAGACACATGTCAGTACTGTATAGACCCAGGGTACACTGGTGACTTCATCCTGAAGAGGGGTTGGAATATTTTCAAGCCTGTGGATTCCTTTCCCTTATGGTTACTTGCTGGCATAGGCAGGAATTTTCTATACACAAACATGTGTGTGCACACACAGAGAGAACAATTTACTCTTTTGCTCTCTCACACTCTCTTCTATATGGACTACTGGCCAAACCTATGGCATTACTTACACTGGTACATTGAATGCTTTCAACTAGAGATGGGCACGAACTGACAAACCATCTCTACTTTCAACATTTAAAGCTGCTCAAATTCTTTATGCTCTTTAGGTTGGAGTGCCTTTTTCCACCCATTGCAGTTTGTCTTTGGCTTCACATTGCAAAGTTTAAAATGTGGTCAGAGCACAGGAAAAAAATCATCCTGAAGCCATAAGTTCAATCAGACTGAAGTCTCAAGAATCTGCAAGCTTTGATAAACATTTATCTACATCTCTATTTCTCTGTGTTGCTGTCCTCTGTCCTCCCCTTAGATGCCTCTCAACATTTGCCTCCTATCCTGATGATTGGTTTGCTTTAATTCCCTTTGAAAAAATTCTCACCTTACACCTTGGTCATAGAGCATTCCTATTGATAATCCCTGTGATCCTTCTATCTCTTCTCTCAGATCTCTTTCTCTGATCATCACCCTTGCACTGCTTCCTACTGCCTACTTCAAGACTTGGTCCACTTCTGATCTCCCTAGTGTTAAATTTGTAGGTCTAATGACACATCCCTATAGATTGCTTTGACTAGACGTAGCTCACACTGGGTTTTCCTAGTATTGATCTTAGGAGTCCTTTACCTGGAAATATCTGGAATGGAATCTGACACCTTTAGCATGCAATCTATATACTTGACTACTTATCTGTGGTCCCTCCCTTAAAACTGAGCTTCTGGACAACTTCTGCTTAAGAGAGGGAAGTAGCAGAAATTGTTAACATTCCTGTAGTTGTGTACTTTTTCACTGTTATCTCAGCTAGTCTTTTACTGGCCCTTAGTGAAAGAGAAAGGTGATCCCACAACCACTCTGATGTAACTCCAGTTCCCTACGAAATGCAACAGGTTGGTTAGATGCAAAATCAGCATCTGAGTTGAGGAGAGGAAGAAAGAGAGAGAGAGAGGTCTGGCAAGGTAGCCTCTTGAAACATTTTGGAGCAAGAAGCTAATACTGGAGGCAATAATCGGTGCCAAAGGTCAAGCAAACCAGCACTCTGTTTGCAAAGAGCAGCAAATGAGGTCACCAGAGGTACATTTCAGCCATTCTATTTTGCAACAGCCTCCTATATGCAGGATGCAAGAGAGGGGAAGAAGTACAAAATGAAGATGTGCGGTTAGAATCAAATTGCCCCATAAAAAGAATCACAATAAATTTTGCCCCTCCCAATTACAGGGGACAGGAAAATGTTAAAACCCATTAAGGGCTGTAACTTCTCTTGATTAATTGTCCAGGGTGCATCAACCTATTTGCTGAGCTGTACTGTATTAAACTAATTATAAATTACTATATTGCTCATTGCACACCAAAGTAAGGTAGTCAATTAATGCACTGCACCAAAGACCCTATTTCAAAGTATCCATTGGTGTGTTTCAGTGATCTAGAGGGTTCATTAATTCTTGTGTTGGTTTAAAGACTACTCAAGGACTGTTCTTCTCTCATCTTCAAAAATATGTCTGCTGTCAGAAAGTGCATTGCTGCTCCAAAGATAATGATCCTATTTTTCTGAAAACATTTGTAAATCATTGCAATGGGGAAATTTTAAAAAATAAAAAATTTGTGCTGATACAGAGCATTCTTTAACATTTTGATTCCAGGAAATTGCTGGCCTTAATTCTTGTGCAGTCTAAATGTAAAATAAAACACTACAACCTATCAATATGTGTTACATTTATGAAACAGAAGCATCAAGATCTCCCACCAGTTATCAAGTAAGGCATACAAGGACACTCCTTGGCCTGCTCTAGTGATAGTGCTTGAACTCCCCAATTCATCTGCCCAGTGATCAGAATTGCTACTCAGCAAGTGTGTGGTAGGCAAATGATGATCCACTTCCACACCATGTAGCACATCAGGCAGCAAGGTTTCTCCAGCATGAGTGTTTCGGTGTCCTCTCATGTGGTATGTAGTGCCTTCAGGTTTTGTATCAATGCTCTTCGCCAAGTTATTTGAGGTGCCAGGGTAGTCCAACTCATTGCTACCTTCATGCCTTGTTCATATGAAAAATATGGACAGCCAGTTGGAGTCTTCTACAATGTAGAAGTTTACATGAGCCACTCGTTTGGAGCACCTCCTTGTTGGTAATGTGACTGAAATATCAGATCTTTAACATTCAGAGGAGACACCTTTGCTGAAAGATGTTGAGCCTCTTGTTGATATATGCTAACTCCTTCCAAGTCTCACTGGCATAAATAGCTTTCAGGATCACAATAGAAGCAAACGGACAGAACGTAACCTTCAGTGATATGGTTGGTGAGGACCAGAACTTGTTCATCTTCCTGAAGACAGCTATCACCTTCCCAGTGTAGCACTTGACAAGTAGACAGATAAAACAAACAAAACCAGACATGTTTGATTTTAGGGCAACTGTGAGGTGGAACAGAGAGCTGCTGTTTACCTCCAAAATGGAACAGATCCTATTTCTTCTATTTGGCAGTCATAGAGCTAAAAAGAAGGTCTGCAATTTGTATTGAAAAGGGGGGAAATTGAAGTCAACACACTGCATTGTTACACTGAATTCCCGGGACTAAAGAGAAGGTGAGTAAACCCTCAACCCCAATGTGAAGACCAAGATCTTCCCTCAACAATCATAGAGGCATGATGGAGGGCTCACACGAGATAATTGTGCACTATATATTATTCTACAGCCTCTGCACCAGCTATTTCATGTAGCTTCAGGGTGAAGTAAAAGATGTGCATTGCTGTTAGATAGCCCATTTGGGTTCTGGAAGTCTTTTCAATTTATTTCTCTTTGCTCCCTTTCCCCCACTTTCACTTGGATGAATGTGCAAAGATGAGTGCTCTATGGGCTTTGATTGGGTAGGGCATTAGGATTAATCCTTCCTATTCTTCCCCTGACATTTTTGTACATGTTTTTCTGTCTTCAGGATTTTCACTTCTTGTTGCAGGTATGCAATACCATCAACTACCTGCCAGAATTCCGACCATGGTGTTAAGGTTTATCATATCCATAAATGGGAAGCACTACATTTGTCTTCTCCACTTATTTTCAGAGTGTGTGTGGTTTTTTGTGGTTTTTTGTTTGTTTGTTTAAGAAAGAACCAGAAAGGGCCAGGTGTCACATTCTGGGTAGAGGAGATTGAATGTCTCTTAAAAAGCACTGGATGGGTTGGTTCAAATCTGTAGGGCCTCTATTCATGTACAGAGTAGGGGTTTGTTGATTTGGGGGTGCTTCCACATGTCTGACTGTTAGGGTGAGGATGCAGTAGAGTAAAGCAGTAATTCTCATCCTGTGGCCAGCTGGATGTTTCTGACCTCATCATCTAGAATTCCTCACCATCGGCCATGTCAGGTGGAGCTTCTGGAAGACCAAAAAAATCTGTAAGACCAAAGCTTGAAAACCACTGATTTAAGGCAAACCCTCCCCTCTCATTATCTT